TATGTTGCTTACCTTCCCCCCTACGCACCTGCATCGACGAACTGCAGTTCGGTGGATGCAAGAATTTTCCCGGCCCACCCTGCTAGACCCATGTTTAGGACCCCCCCGTTTTTTATTTTCTTGTCGGTTTGCCACTTCGAGGGCGTGCGGCGCCCCACCCCCACCCGAAACCCGCTCTCCTCTCCCGAAACCCCCTCCCATTTCGTCCGCGGCCACGGCCGGGGAGGTCCCGGCCACGGCCGCCGGCCGCACGGCCATGGGGAAATATAGCTTACGGGTGACGCCAACAATGTGTCCTCTCCCGATGTTCAGTGACAACCACCTCCTCCCTATACACTCACTCGCGTGTATAGAACTGTCTTCCAAGAACTATGACTGAGAATAACAACAGCCAGTTCAGGTGGCATGAGGGCACAAATGACTCTCCCAACCAATTTACATTGACTTAGGAGGTGAATGGTTTGGCTGCCCTATTCCGTTGAGCTGACCCGGGATAGTACAAGTAGTACGGCGTGCAATAGCAGGTAATCAAAGTCGTATCACTTGGCAACGAACGTCAACACCCTGGAAATGCGTGTTTTCTACACAAAGGTTCCTTGAAAAACCTCACCCCAGATTGATCACACATCACCTTTTAGTCCTCTGTTTTCCGTTGTTTGTGGTCACATGTCGATCATTCCTATAACGCCCTCCTTTCATTTATTAAGATGATCTCACTCGTGATCAGTAACGATTCTCCCATCTCATCTTCTGCTCTCACTATTATCAGAGTTTGGCCCCGGTCAGAAGTTGGCAAGAACTACATACATGCTTCTGAAGATTACCATTCAGCAGATATTGTCAACGAGTAAAGCCCTCGCTTTCCCACTCTCTCTCTCTCTGATTGAGACCGCGCGTGCAAGGCTCTCTCACTTGTTGGTTCAGGAAGTAAACTCTGGTGATGACGACCCAAAAAGCTACGCGGGCGGAGGGGATTCCTCCTGATTACAGCACAACCAAAGCGTGAGAGGACCATGAACACACACCACAAACCCCTAGTAAGTGACGCCGCTCTTGTATGCCGCCCAATTAGAGTCTACCCCGAGTATGGTGAAGGTAAAGTATGAAGAAGGGGAGGGGGCGACCATAGTCGCTTGACACGTGCGCCAGGTACGCCATTAAAAATGACGCCCACTAGCCGGTGACATCCCCCTGTATAGGGAAGCCCGACTCTCTTTCTTGTGTTCGACTTATCGCGCATACTCTCTCTCGCCCTCTCTCCCGCAATAGTGATTGCCCGTCTCTCTGTAACTGCCTAGCAGCCTTGGTCTCATTGTCGTCGTGAGTTGGCCTCCGGGTCATCTTCCACTGCTTCAGCAGGCGGGTGGTCCCAACGCCACTGGTCCAGTCCGTGCCAGGACTGGGTCTCCGCGTCCAAGTCGCTCGCTTCACTCTCGGCCTTGGTCTAGGTGCAGCTGTTCGCTTTCCGTCGTATTAGTTGAGGTCTCTGCCTCCAGGTACGAGACGGTCACCTTCACCTCATCCGTGACTCTGTCCCTCCTGCACCTTCTCTTGGCCCGGTCTTTGATTTCCATAATGGTCGCCTGTAGTCCATGGTCCGCTCTCATCTCCTCCTCTTTCGCCCCCTCCACGTTTATCTTCAGCCTTGCCTCCTGGTTGCAGTGGCTGTAGTCCAAAATGGCAGTCACCATAGGCCCATCTTTCGACATTCGCTCCCACCTCCAGAGGAACTGGAGGTATTTTGGCCAATAGCCATATAGCCCATTGTTGCGCACCATAGCCACTCACTCTTGGATAGCCTCTGCTAAGAAGCAAGTCCCGTACTTGCCCTGTGCGCTCGTAACCCTAAGCAACTAGGCTTAGCAGTCCTGGCCTGAGTTGCCTTCATCCTAACACGTCTAACGTTCCTCACAACCCGCACAAAGGCACTCAGCCACACGGAGTTAGCGTCGCGCCAACGGGCTTTGCACGCACTGCTTCTAAGCAAAGAATCCCCCTTCCTAGCTCCACGGCTTGCTACTGCTTTTATAAAGCCTAGGGGGTTGCAGTCCCAGTGTACTATACGGGGTACGTCGGATCACTTCAGGATCAATAAAAGGAAAATGAAATAAAATTTAACCCACTTCAAAATAATACTCTAGAATAACGACTATTTTTCATAGTCACTGTCCACAGTCTTTTCAGCTCACCCTGAGAAGACCACGGACACGATGCCCAGTAGTCCCATAACGGGATGCCGACTATTACGCTCCTTTCTTCGAAGGAGGTCGTTAGACTATCCCTGATGGGTATCCGTGTCCGATGGTAAGGAGGGGGCTCATGACCTCCCACAAGGTGATGAGTCTCCTACCGATGCGGTCGCGGGTGCTCTCGTTTTGGGGCCCTATACTGATTGCACCTCGTTGGACAGGTTCATAATGGCTGGAGTGCAAGGGTCGGGCAGTCTAGGCCTCCCGTATGCTGCTACCGATTTCAAAAACGAGTCGTTCGTCCCTTCCGTGAAATGACAAAGGGAGAACAAAAAATAAAAAAGGGCCACCAATAGATGGAGGTCCCCCCCCAGGTGTTAGCGGTGTTTGCTCTTATTAGCACCACTAACACTGACGGGGGCGTGTTTGAAAAAAAATAAAATAATAATAATAATAATAAAATAATAATAAAACAAAATGACACTTAGGATTCATCGCAGAAAGTTACTCGTCATGATAGTCTGAAGTCCGATCCATCAGAGCAAAACCACAGTCCGGATCGGGTTGCAAATTCGACGCGTGATGTTTCTCGTTTTTCCGTTTTTTTTCTTTTCCTTTCCTTAGTTTCTTCTTACTTTGATCGCGACTGTAGTTCGTTGCACACATCCCATAACTCGGCTAGATGGTACTCGACGTGCAGCAGAAAAGGTCGCGCCGGTCCTGCTACCTCTGCGGCCCTGGGCGAGCCCGTCGGCTACCACGGCCACAAGCCGGTAGCGCTCTACTGTACAGCAGGGCGTTGAGCCTAGGTGGACCAAAGGAAAGCCCAGTGGCGCACCCCCTTCTTTTGCTAGGGCAAGCGCCAATTGGACCTGGTCCACAACAGAATACAACCTGTACAAGCCCAACACGTCGCTGAGATCCGTAGGCTGCGAGGGGGCCTGGTGAACCAAGGAGGTTCTTAAGTAGGTGCATGATACATAACGGGATGAGCCAACATTCGGTACACACTGGAGTGAGCAGGTTGTCGGTAGTACACAGTGAAGTTTTCCATGATTAGACGTCTGGTACGCAGTGGGAGTACGTGAGCGGGCGTCTAGTACGCAACGGAGGGTCGGGACACCGCGCCCTTAGACATGATACCAAACCCTTGCCCACCGTCCCCGCTGGGCCAAAATGGAGCAAATAACCATTTATTCGTTACCACTCCAATTCATCATAGAACTCTTTATCATAATTTTGCGCTCGATGTTAGCTTTGTGTTCAACCACTTTACTCAGATCACTTTTCTTATTCCGTTGCACATCTAGCTCACGAGATACATATAGTCGCTCTCTTGTCTCCCTTAGTAGCGCCTCCCTCTACTTTTGCAATATCCCCTCAGCCTCGATTTTCGTAGTTGCACGTCTCTTAACCTTTAATTTTTTTGGCATCATGCCTGAGGCATGTCGTGGACATGGAAGAGGGAAAGGTGGAAGAGAAGGGAAGGGTTTAAAGGAGCCAGCACCGTGCGCCTTGTAAGGGTTCAAAGGAGCCAGCATCGTGTGCCAGAAGGCACATCAGCTCGGAGTTGGATGAAGAAGAGAGGTAGGGTGTGGGACCCACTCAAGGGTCTGCCCACTCCACTCATTCCCTAGGTGGTACGAGAGAACTTCATCCCCAACGAGGATGAAATACTATCAAAAGAAATATGAGGCACGCGACGGCGCTCCCGACACTTCTTCCCCTCCATATTCCCCAGAGCACCTATCACCCTTGCAATAAGGGATAGCAAGATCACGCAAGAGCGATGGAGACAAATGGCGCAGCGATGGAGAGAGATCGCGCAAGAGTGACAGAGAGAGATCGCGCAGAGATGGAGAGAGTTCGTGCTGGAGAAAGATGGCGCAACGATGGAGAGAGGTCACACTGTCGGTGCGGATACCCTTACAAGGGTACTCGCACTGGGTTTTTGCAGTTGACAGAGAAAATGGGTCGATTCATAATTAATGGGAAGACCCCGCGAGTCGTAGGGGTCCGCGGGTTAAAGGTTCGGCGGTAACATCTAGGACTAGGGAGTGTGTGGGCGCGCAGGTTTGAGACGCGCGTGATTTTTCCCTCTTTGATCGCAATAGAAGACGCAGCGTGGATTCTGGTCGACGTGCTTCATTATAACAGTTGTTTGTTTTGATTAAATTGACTAACCTATGGGCGCTCTTTTCTTTGGTTCCGCATGGTACGGTGGACGGCTCAATGAGCCTGTTTACGCGGAAATCCAGATGATGGGATCTGATGGATTTGGCTAAGGATGGGTAGGCCGACGTGAGTTTGGGTGGTCCTCTGTGCAAGTGTGGGCCGGGAAGTGGCGTAGGGCGTTTCCTTGGCCCCAAGGGCCGTGCGCTACCTCTTTATAAGGTGAGTCAAGCCTGCTGGTACCAGGCTTGGGCCTACCCTATAGGTTACAACACCAGACTGGTACGCAGCAGAAGCAGGGATCGAGGCCAACAGCAGGCGGCGTGGGAGCGGAGCATGGTGAAAAGGCTTGAGGGGTTGATGGGCCTGTGGGA